TGTGTGTGTGTGTGTGTGTGTGTGTGTGTGTGTGTGTGTGTGTGTGTTGAGAGTAGCATGCTGGGCTGGAGCTGGGGAAAATGGGGGTCTGGGAGGAGCCTGGGAGGAGCCCTCTGCCCCACCTTGAATGGGCAGAATGAAGCCGCGGGCCCAGTCAGCAACTTGCGGAAGGATGTACAAGCCCCATCTGGACTCTTACCACTACGGAGCCCTTGAAACAGCCCTGACCCTACTTCCTCTTTGGTATCCTCCAGGATGGGTTGGGGGCAGTGTCCCAAGAGGGCACGAATGCAACGAGGTGGGAAAGGCCTGAGGAGGGATGGGCAGGTATGACACCGACAGAGCCAGTGTGGGAAAGTCAGTCAGAGAGTGGGGTCGCTGGAGCTAGGCAGCTTGAGGAGAGAAGGCCCACGGGGCAGGGCTCCTGGGAAGGCACCCAGCCCCAGCCAGACCTATGTCCGAGGCTGGGACAGACGCCAGGCAACGGGGCGGGCTTCCTGGGGTGGGTGACAGAGGGGCAGGGGCCTCAGCTGGAAGGGGGGAACCCTAAGTGGGGGGAGTTGGGCGGGCAATCCGGCCAGGGCGCCCCCCTGCTGCTCCCTCGCGGAGTTCCCCGCTTTGGGCTCCCCCATGGGGTTGGCCGAGCTTTGCGGAGTCCGGGTTCTGAGGTTCTTCCAGTCTCTCCTCCCGTGTGGAAGTGGGCGCTCAAAATCTTTGTCCAGTCCTAAGAACCGAAGGGTTAGCGCCCCCAAATCGCCCTCACTGGGGATCGACTTCCGCGGAGGCGGCCGCCACCCCAAGCAGGGGCGCGGACAGATAAATGAGCCGGTCTCGGTGCTCCCGCGGCGGGGGCGGGGGGGGGGGGGGGGAACTCCTCCCAACCTCATTAAAACGGAATTAAAGGTTTCCGAGGCGCCTGACCTTTCCCCAACTGCTGGCGGGGGAGGGCGGTGGGCGTGGGGGGCGGCCGCGGGGAGAGGAGAGGAAGGAAGGGATACTTACTTGGCTTGGTCTCCTCGGCGCCCATCTGCCTGATTGAGGGGGATGCGGCCCCCTTGGTTTCTCCCGAAAGCTCCTACCCCACCCCCAGCTTCTGTTCCCTGAAGGGAACGGATCTGCTCTTGGCACCGCGTTCTCAGCGCAGCTTCGCTCCCTCCTTTGGTCCCAGTCTGTACCAGAGCTGGTGGCTTGGAGGAGGACTGCATTCGTGCCCTCACTGTGCAGAGGTGCGCCGTGGTAGGCAGTGACTTGGTCGCCCACCTCTGTTGACGGAAAGGGGTCTGGGGGTGCCAGGTTCCTAGAAGGACTTCCTGTGCCGGGGCTGCGAGGGCTGGGTCAGTAAGGAAGCAGCCCCTGCAATGGGAAGATGCTTGGAAGGTTGTCTTGTGGGCAGGAGGATGGTCGTTGTGACCATTGTTCACCGTGGCTGAGGTCTGGCCGGGAGTCCAGGCTTCAGCCTTCTCCTGGGGGTAGGAAAGGCGTGTGTGTGTTGGGAAGAAGAAGGGTCAGATCAGTTGAACTTACCCCACCCTAGCAAAACTCTGCTCTGGGCCCTGTCCCAGGACAGGTGCTGGGGCAGAGAGAGGAGTCGGACCCATTTCTGCCTTCTAGAAGCTCAGTATGGGGGAAGGCAGGGTCACCTTCAGACCACCACTGGCCAAATGAAAGAATGCTGCCAGCAGGAGCTCTAGTGGCAGAGGCTGGAGCAGCAGGAGGTGCCTCACAGCGCAGACAGCATTTGAGTGGGACTCTGGGACACAGGTAGGGGGTGAACAGGCAGAGAAGGAGACGGATATTCTCAGCAGAGGGCCCAGCATGAGCAGAGGCAGGGTGGTGGAGTGCTGGGGGAAGAGTGTGATCCCGGCAAGGCTGAGAAGGGGGGTGCATGCTGGTGAGCAAGATGCTACCTGTGGCTTTGGCTGCCAAGAGAAGCTCCCGATTACTGTCCCCTCACCTTCTCAAATACCCTGGGCAGTGAAGAGCTCTTGAAATGTATTTGGATTGTTTGCCATCTGCCTCTCCTCCAAGCCTGAGCCTTCCTACTCAAGTAGAAATGTTCTTCTGAGGGACACCCCCTCCCCGGTGCACACACATCTGATGGATCCCGTCCTGCTGCTCCACCCCCATGCTCCTGGGGCCACAGGATCTCACATCCTCTGAGAGGCAGCATAGGCAGCCCCAGACCTCCCAGCTGTTGCCAGATCCTGAGGACTGAGGGTCTAGAGGGGGAAAGGGGGTGCCACAGGACAGATCTCTTGGGAGGGCTGACTCACCAGCTCCTTCCTCAACAAGTCCCATTCCCCTCTCTGCTCTTGTATTCATCATCCCTCCATCCATCCACTCACCCAGCCATCAACTGAAAGCATATTTCTTGAGCACCACCAGGCACTGTGCACTGGTGCTTCAAACACAGCAGCAATGACCGAGACAGACCAGACGGGCCCTGCTTTCACAGACCGTACAGTCTGGAGGGGTGGGCATGCTGGACATTAAACAAGTGAACAAAATAAAGAGAGAATTGCAAATGATGGCAAGTGCTAGCAAGGAAACCAGCAGGCCCTGCAAGGACTGTTGGGGCCTGATAGAGATGGGGTCAGCGGAGGGCTCTCTGAGGAATATGCTGTCCTGTGCAGGGCTGCCTGGCTGAGCTCTGGGACTCTGCAGCTCGCAGATCAAGGTGCCTTAATTGCAGATTCTTCGTGTGGAAAGAGTCTTTGGCTCTGTTCTTCAATTATGGGATAATAAGTCCCTCTGAGGAGCAGGCAGCCCTTGGTCTCAGGCATTTGATGTGTGATTTGCGCCCACTCTTCCCCCGAGCTGTGCCTGCACACCAGATCCTTACATGGGGGTGTGGTGTCCATTAGCCACGGTGAACTTGGTGAGGGTGGGGGGTGGGAGCTGTGCTGGGCTTTCAACCTTCTCTGCAGCTCCAGTGCCCACTCTTGAGTGCTCCCACTGGACCCCAGACCCGCCCCCTGGTTAGCAAGAGTAGGTGCAAGAGTATATTCTGTTGGTGAGAAGGGAGCCGTGTGTGTGCTGGTGATTGTGTTTGCATGTCGGTTGGGGGTGCGGGCAGAAGCATGTGCATGGCTCTCGGGTATGTGAACTCAAGTATCCTGTTTACAGGTATGAATGTGCACGTGTGGATGGCAGTCACTGTGGGTGTGGGTGCGTGGATGTCTTCGAGTCTGTGACTGCACTGTGTGTGTGTCTATGTGTGTGCAGGTGCGCACATGCCTGAGTATCTGTATGGGACAGTGAATGTATGAGTGTGTGTGTGTGTGTGTGAGTGTGTGTGTGTGTGTGTGTGTGTGTGTGTGTGTGTGTTGGGGGGCGCTAAAGGTCTCCATGAAGTGTGTAGTGTGTTTGTGCACATGCTGGGTAGGGATGGGCTGAGGCAGCCCAGGAGTGTGTGCACAGAGGGGTACGTCCAGTGGGTGGAGGAGGACTCCATGATTCCTTCCTTCCCTCCAACCCTCTGAGGCTCTCATTCAGTCTCCCAGCTCTGTACTGGGACCAGGCTATTTTGCCAGCCCAGGAAGTCCACAGCCCTAGAGAGGTCCCAACTTTCCCTTTTCCTGAGAGATGAGTCCAGGTGGAAAGAACAAGAAGGATGTCCTCCCCCGTCTACTAACAGTAAAATGCCCACATGTTTCTGTAAACCATATGCAAATGAACCATGCTCCCAGCGCCTTTCAACAACCTGTCTTATAGGAGTCATAGATGGAGCTTCATCCAGAGCTTAACCTTCAAACCACCCTTGGCGGCCCAGCCCTCTTCCAGGTCTTCCTGCCTCCAGTCTTGCTCCCCGCAACTCCCCCTACCTTGTAGACCATGGTCCGCAGACGCTAAAGCCTGCTGTGGATCCCCAGTATGATCAAGCTGAAGTCCAATTCCTTAGACTTGCACCCGCCCTGTGGTACCATGGACCGCACCACTGCCCGGGTCCTCAGCTCCCCATACCACCTACTACCCAGCACTGCCAGGACAGCCTCCCGCCTGCAATGTCGCCTCCGGGCTCTGCTTGTCTTCCCAGTTCTGGAAGGCCCCCAGGTGCCCTCCCCCTCTGAGCTCGCACAGCCTATAAGTTCCCACCCACTCAATCTGCCCTCTCCTTCTTCCTCAGGTATGAAGTTCTGCACCCCCTTCATCACATCCACCACTCCATCCCACCCCAGCCAGACTGTGAGCTTCCTGAGCACCTGCTGGTCTCCTCCTCTCCATCTGCTCCTGGCAGGGGACTTAGAGCAGAGGCGGGCAGGGGCTGCTGAGTGGGGAGGGAGGATGAAGGAGGGGACCCCAGTGCAAGCACTGTGGTGAGCCCTGCAGGTGGTGAGCAGCTCTGAGTAGGTGCCCAGGAAGCTGGTGACGCGGGTGGGGAGGCTTGCTGGCAGGGCCTGCAGTGCTCCCCCCTTCATTTCCCTCACCAAGCACCCAAGCAGGGCTGGGAGAAGGGACTTCACAGAGCATGAAAGATGGGCTGAGGGGATTCCAGGTGACTGACACGGGGAAGTTGGAGAGGGACAGGATGATGGGTGTGATGATGAGAAGGGATCTGGAGAAGGGAAGGTGTGGGCAGAGAAGGGGAGGGAGTGGGTGGTGCTGTCCCAACTCTGCCACTTTCTGCTCTGTGACCTTGGGCAAGTCACTCAAACTTTCTGGGCCTTGGTTCATCTGCAAGGTGGAAGCTTGCGTTACTTGTTGGTGAGAATCACATGCAAGGCAAAGCACCTTATCACTGCATTCATTCATTCCCTCATTCATCCTCCCAAGTGCTTTAGGCACAGCAGATGCATCATAAACGGTGGACCTCTTCCCCTACCCCAGACTTAGGGGCAGCTCAAATCCCAACTCAGAAAGGATGGAGCTGGGAGGCTGAGGCTAATACCACTGATTCCATAATCACGGCCTGAAGGGCTCCATAGACTGAGAGATGGAGAGGAGTCCAGGGTCACCCCGTTTCCCTCACTATACACCTGGATTGTGCTGTAGATGGAACAGTAGTTGAAAAGGCAGAGATCAGAAAAGTTCCACTTCTTTGGATTAGCCCTCGAAGGCTTCCTGGAAGAGGGGATTTTCCTGAAGCCATCTGCTTGGTCAGAGGATGGGCTTATTGAGGCCCACAGACTGGAGTGTGTATGTGTTGGTGGGGACAGGTGTGTGCCGGGCATGGGGAGGGCACTCTGGTAGAGACAAGAGGCTAGGGGAGGTAGGTCACAGCTGGTCCCCTTGTCACTCCCCTCCAGGTGCACTGTGGTCATCTGAGTGACAGTGAGGAGTGGAGCCTGCAAGCCGTGGAGAAGCATGTGAGTGGGGATAGGGCCAGGGTAGGATGAGGGCTGCTGAAGACCCTCATCACAACTGATGGGAAGATGATCTGGCCCGGGAGATGGACAGACCTGGGTTCCAGTCCACTACCTCTGGGCTGTGTGACCTGGAGCAAGTCACCTAACCTCTCTGAGCCTCAGTTTCACATCTGAGAATGAGGATAAGGATAGCACTGATCTACTGAGGGTACTGGTGAAATAAGGGGAGTCAAATATTTTGTTAATACTTAGGAAGGACTATCTACATAATGATATTGAGGCTCTTCCTGGAGATTTTATGATTTTGTGACTTTAACAAGAACTTACGACTCCCCGTGGGTGCTAGAGACGGAGAAATCTGACCCTGTTCTGCCTTGTAAGAGTCTGGGGGCTAGGCGTGGAGACAAACCCTGTACTTACCTGATCATGGACCGAGGGGCGCTCTGGGGGCAGTGGGAGTCCACAGGAGGGTGGAGTGCTGAGGGATGAGTTGTTTGGGACGCGGGTTGGGGGTGGGGGCGATGGGCACCGCAGGCAGAGGGAAGGGCTCGAGCAAAGGGCGATAAAGGTGGGGCGTGTGGCTTGCTGACCGCTCCGCCCGTTCCAGACCCTGGTGGCCCTGAAGAGGGTCCAGGCCCTGCAGCAGCGCGGGCCCAGCGCGGCCCCGGAAGCGGTCCAGAATACTCCAGAGGGGGCGGCGGGAGACCAGAAGGGTGGGGTTCCGTACACAGACCAAGACCGAAAGATCCTGCAGCTTTGCGGTGAGGACCCGGCTGGGGCAGGTCCTTGGGGGCGGGGAGGGGCGGGGTCGAACCTGGAAGGGAGGGGCCCATGGTGGGCGGGGCCTGAGGGTGGCGCGCACCCTTGGGGGAGTCTGTGGGCCCTCTCTCTCTGACCCGCGCCCCGCCATTGCAGGGGAACTCTACGACCTGGATGCCTCTTCCTTGCAGCTCAAAGTCCTCCAATACGTGAGTCCCTGTGCCCCTCCTGGGACCAAGGTCCCTGTGAGCCGTCCATCTCAGTTCAGAGTCCCGTGTCCTGCCCCTCTTCTCTTCCCCACCTACCCGAGGAACCTCAAAAAGGCCAGAGGGTGGGGAGTGGGTTTGCTCCCAGATCCACGGTCAGCCTCTCGCTGTGTCCCTCCCTCTCAGCTGCAGCAGGAGACCCAGGCGTCCCGCTGCTGCCTCCTGCTGGTATCTGAGGACAGTCTCCAGCTTTCCTGTAAGGTGAGGGCCCAGGTCCACTGTGGAGCAGGGCGAGGGACCGGGGTCTCTGAGAGGAAAAACCCTGCCCATCCTTAACCAGTCCACCTCGCTCTGCCCATCAGGTGATTGGAGATAAAGTGCTGGAGGAAGAAATCAGCTTTCCGGTGAGTCCCGCACCCCCTGTGTGGGAGTCTGCAGAAGCAGTTAAAGTCGTCTAGGCTCTCCTGGGATCTGCCCAGAGAGATTGGGATCTGCTAGAATCTCTTGGAATGTGATGGAATTATCTGGATCTTGAGGTCTACTTAGAAATGTTGTGAGAGATCACAACCCCTCATGATCAGGAGCCATTAGGAGAAATCTCTCAGTCTACAGAAAGACTCACCTGCGACCATGTCACTTCTGTTGGAATATTTCTGGATTTGGCTCTCTTAGAATCTGTTAAGATCAGTGAGAATCCTTGGATTCTGCTTTCCTTTCTCCTAGTTAGGGAAGACCCTCAAGTCCTCCATAGGAGATTCTGGTCAAGAGCCTACTCCCCCACCCTCACCCCACCCTCACTCCTCAGTGTTGAATCCATCCACAGTTTGGACTGACTGAAGAGATAGTTGAAACTTCCAGACTTGGGGGGGAAGAGGTCTGACATCGCCTGATCTTGGGAAGAGCTGGGCCCTGACTGGCTCTCCTCACTCCCCCAGTTGACGATGGGACGACTGGGCCAGGTGGTGGAAGACAAGAAGTCTATCCAGCTGAAAGATCTCACCTCTGTAAGCCATGGCCTGGCTGGACTGGCGGGGAGCCAAGGGGAGAGCCCACTGCCCAGTCCCCAGGGCCAGAGTCTCTGGGCCAGGGCAGCCTAGGAATGGGGGGAGACAAGACCCCACCCCATGTCATAGCATTTCCCACCCTGCATGAGCCCTTCAGCCCCTCCTGTTGCAGAGTGTGGTGGAGGGCGGGGGAAGGAAGCATATTTCCTCCTTCCCTGCCCTGACTTGCCTCCCCCTTGCCTCCCCTTTGCAGGAGGATGTGCAACAGCTGCAAAGCATGTTGGGCTTCGAGGTGCAGGCCATGCTCTGTATCCCTGTCATCAGCCGGGCCACTGACCAGGTGGTGGCCTTGGCCTGCACCTTCAACAAGCTCGGAGGAGACTTGTGAGTCTGGGTGGAGTGATGTGGATCAGGAGACGGAGCCGAGAGGCCGGGCGGGGCTCGACTAGGGTAACAGCGCGGGAAGGGTACTGGGCAGGGAGTACTTACTATTCCAGCAGCGGTAGGTTGAATGGTTTGTGCAAGAGACTGTGAGATTATGGGAGCGATAGACCCTTGCCGCTGCTCCATTTTGACTTTGTAAAATCATGTTGCGGTCCAGGCGAGTTCCCCTTCTCTTTGCCCATTTCTTGCAGTTTGGATTATCCACTTTTTGCTACTGGCCTTTCCCCCACTTGCCATCCTTTGTTTTGGCATTTCTGCTGGGAACTGCCTGATGGAGGAGCGATGAGCTCTAGGATGGGTGAACTCTCTGGGACCCGCAGAGCATCACCGACCCAGTGGACAGTGACTCAGGGAATAGGCATGGGGGCTGGGCTAAGCTGAGGGTCCTTAGAGGCATTGACAGGGCAGCTGTAGGAATCGTGTGAAACAGAGGGGTAAGCAGGACACACGGTCAGATAAACAAGCTTAGTCCATATCTCAAGAACTGAGGTCAGATTTGAGGCCTAGAAGTCGTATCATAGATTTCCTGTCCCACACCAACTCATTAATGGGTAGCAGCTGCCTGAAGCATTGTATTAGTTTAGTGAGAAGCACTAAACTAATTGATTGATTGATCAGCCGTGCCTTGATCAGCCGTGCCTGTCCTGGGTGCAGCTTTAGGATGTGAATGCTGCCACACTTGGTCCAGCAGGCCTAGCAGTAGGGTGTAGTAGGCAGGTGAGGGGTTGCATTCTGATTCCAGGATGCAGAGAGATGCTGTCAAGTTGCTTGGCCCCTGGGGCCCAAGCAAGCAGGCTGGGTTTGAGGGCTCGGACCTCCTGCAGGAAGTGGAGACTGGAGATGTTGGGACTAGAGAGTGTCAGAAGCCCAGGGATGGGGCCTGCAGGGGTGGGGCAGAGATCTGGGTGTCAGAGATCTGAGTAGCAGGACCTGCCAGCATGGAGCTCTATTGGCAGTTGGATGGGCCTGGGAAAATAAAGATAGGGACAAGGCAGAACCTGCTGAGGCAGCGGGGATGTAGGATCTGTGTCATTTGTCCCATCCTAGTGGTGGGAGCATTTGTGCCATTCAATAAACACACATTGAGTACCTACTGTGTCTGGCCCTATGCTCCCAGAGGGGAGGGTCCAGCAGGGTTTGTGACCTCTGGCTGCTGGCTGTAGCCTTGGGTTCTGAGGTGGCCCTGGACCTGGAGGAGAGGTGGTATCAGAAGGGAAACGAGATGGGGACTTGGTGACAGCCCTGAGGCCCAGGGCAGGGGCAAGATCATCTCTGGGTTCCACATATTTCAGGGACTGAGTGCTGAACAACTACATGAGCCAAGGTGGTGCTCAGCTCAGAGCAGACACTGCAGAGAAGCTGCCTGGAGCCCAGAGAGAAGGGACTCCAGAATCCCTTTAGCTGGGAGTGCGATGGGGCGGGTGGCAGGGGCAGAGGTACAGTTACGACATTGAGCAAACACTTTCCAAATATTTCCCCTGTACCAGGCTCTGTATTAGGGGATGATACAGTCATGGTCCCTGCCTTCAAGACTTGATGTTTATTTTTAGGGCGTAGAGGGAGGAGGGTGGGAAAGGTATTCTAGGCAGAGCGAACAGTGTGGGAAAAAGCATGAAGGTGTGAAAGAGCCTGAGGTTTTCTCAGAACGATGAGGATCTTACTGTGGCTGAAGCTGAGAGACGCCCATAGAAGAGGGGAGAGAGGTGGGTGGGACTGGATGGAGAGGGCTCAAATGCCACGAGAAGGAAGGTGGGCAGACAGACACAGGGTGGTGGGGCCTGGGGTCTGGATCCGAATCACTGGACGGCGAGCACGCGTGGAGGATACCCCGGCAGAGAGGAGCACTGAAGGCAGCCCCCAAATGGGGAAGGGACTAGGCAGGGAAATCTGGGGGCTGAGAAATGGTCAGAATCTCTGAGGAATGCTTCATCTCTCCATGATCCCCATCCGGAGAGGCTTACCCACGTCCCCAGCCCAGGTCCTGCCTCCAGCTTGGTCCATCCAGTCCCACCAAGCTCCCTGGTGACAAATCATCTGGTGACCCCACTGAATGACCTCCTCAGGATTTGGGGCTGATCTTGTCCATTGTGAGCCAGCTCCATGAATCTGATGGGCACTGCCCTGCCCACAGCACCATGGGACTTGTGGAGGCACCAAATCGGGGCCTGCAAAGTGCAGGGAGGAGGGTAGGACAGTGACAGGAGCTGGAAAAGACAGGGCAGTGCCACCGCCCCTCCCTGAGGCTGGAGGGGCCCCTGGAGAAGAGCAGAACACCCAGCCCCAGTCTGAGGGAGGAGACTCAACCTCAGTCTGGGTAAGTCTAAAGTCAGAGGAGGGAGACATGGCTCTGGCTTCGAGAAGCAATAGTCTGAGGAAGAAAACACATTTTGGTCAGAGGAGGATTAGAACTCCCCCACCCCGCTCAGGAGCCCCCAGTCTGAGGGGGAAGCTGGCCCAAGCCACCTGTGCGGTAAGCAGCCCCAGCAGAGGAGAGTGAGTTTGCTGGTGGATTTCCAAGTGGGCTTCCTGGAGGAACGGAAGTAAGGCAGAATGGGGTAAGCTGTCTGTGGTCTGTCCCTCTCCGGTGACCCCCGCCACCCCACCCTGCCAGATTCACAGACCAGGATGAGCGTGTGATCCAGCACTGCTTTCACTACACCAGCACGGTCCTCACCAGCACCCTGGCCTTCCAGAAGGAGCAGAAGCTCAAGTGTGAGTGCCAGGTGAGTGGCGCCTCTCTCGGAGACCACGTCGCCCAGCTCTCAGCTCCAGAGAGTCAGCCACAAGGGAAAAGCCCATGTCTTTGGGGGCTGGTGGCAGGGAGACTACCTAGGCTCTGGCGGCCTCTTAAAGAGGGAGGACAGGGCTCCCCTGGTGGCGCAGTGGCTGAGAGCCCGCCTGCCGATGCAGGGCACACGGGTTCGTGCCCTGGTCCGGGAGGATCCCACATGCCGCGGAGCGGCTGGGCCCATGAGCCATGGCCGCTGAGCCTGCGCGTCCGGAGCCTGTGCTCCGCAACGGGAGAGGCCACAACAGTGAGAGGCCCGCGTACCGCCAAAAAAAAAAAAAAAAAAGAGAGGGAGGACAGTAGCTCTTCAAGACGGCACCTCTGGCTGCAGGCACTGTATGCGATCGCCCTCTAGTGTTCAGATTGGACATCACCGCAACAGCTGGGTGGCTAGAGCTGGAGGTGCATGCGCACCTCAGACTCAGGATGTCTGTGCACCCTCACTGGGGCTATTCCTCCCACTCCTTCACTTAGTAGCCAAATGATATAATTAGACTCTGCCAGTCTCCAGTCTGTCCAGAGAGCCCTAGGGGAGGAATGAGAAGACCCTGGAGCTGATGGAGGCAGGGGGCTGGAGAGGGTGACCCCCTGCAACCTGATTCCCTGTGATTTCCATTTTCTCCATTCCAGGCTCTTCTCCAAGTGGCAAAGAACCTCTTCACTCACCTGGGTGAGTGCACTGCCCTCCTTCATACCTGGCTGTGGGGTGGGAGTTGGGGGGTGGCAATTTGAGGAGGGGAGGTGGGAGGGCTTGGCCTCTCAGCACTCCGGCCTGGTCTCACCACTGTTCCCCATGCTTCTTGCTCCCACAGATGACGTCTCTGTGCTGCTCCAGGAGATCATCACAGAGGCCAGAAACCTCAGCAATGCTGAGATGTGAGTGAATCCACCCCGGGGTGGGGCGAGAGAGGCCTTGGGCCTCAGTAACGACCTCTTCTTTCCTCCGCTCTTTTTTTCCCCTCCATTGTCTTCTTGTGGGACCCCTTCACGTTTTCTGTGATTCTTTATTTCATGCCTGTGACTCTCACTAGACTGTGACAGCAAGTGACAGCAGGGGTGGGGCTTACTTTGCTGGCCATGGGTCCTCAGCTCCTAACACAGTGCCTGGTACAGAGTAGGTGCCACCAAAAAAAAAAAAAAAAAAAAATCATCGATCTGGACTGATGTCTGGAGTCAGCCAGCTCTGAGGAGAGTCTCTCCCTCCAGGCCTCAAAATCCAGGCTTTGCCTCTAGTCGTGAGATTTGAGGGGTGGCAGGAGAGGGGTGGCGGGAGAGGAGTGTCAGGGCTCTGTGGACCAAAGCCATCTCTCCACAGATGCTCTGTGTTCCTGCTGGATCAGAACGAGCTGGTGGCCAAGGTGTTCGATGGGGGCGTGGTGGATGATGAGGTGAGTCAGGGCCTTGAGGAGGGAGGGTGTGGCCGTGGTCCTGGGGGCCGGGAGTACGCAGTGGGCGCTGTGGAGCAGGCCCGATGGTTGATGGTCCGCTCTGTGACCGGCCACCAACTTCCTCTCTATGCCATCCCTGGCCCGGCAGAGCTATGAGATCCGCATCCCGGCCGACCAGGGCATCGCGGGCCACGTGGCGACCACGGGCCAGATTCTGAACATCCCGGACGCGTACGCACACCCACTTTTCTACCGCGGTGTGGACGACAGCACCGGCTTCCGGACGCGCAACATTCTCTGCTTTCCCATCAAGAACGAGAACAAGGGTGCGTGGTCCTGGCGGCTCCGGGAGGAGGGGCGGGGCGGGGCCTGAGCAGGATGGGGCGGAGCCGAGCGGACGTTCCACAAGCCTTCTCCACCACCCTAGTGTCCCTAAGCCGAAGGGATGGGTTTTCCCAAATACGTGATGTCCCTTGAGGACACCCTGGGAGGGCAGATCTCCGTTGGACACATCCACTGGTTCATCCTAGCCCTTCTTTGGTCCCCAGAGGTCATCGGTGTGGCCGAGCTGGTAAATAAGATCAACGGACCATGGTTCAGCAAGTTTGACGAGGATCTGGCGACAGCCTTCTCCATCTACTGTGGCATCAGCATCGCACATGTGAGGAGGACAGGGGCGTGCAGGACCCTCTGTTCTCTCCACATTGGCTCTCTTTGCTCTGTCCAGACGGGTCCGTGCCCTGCCCTGGGGCTCAGAGCCCTGCTGCTGGGTTGCTCTGCAATCTTCAGTACCTACTGGTCACCTCTGGCTTCAGTTTCCCATCAGAAAATCAGAGATACTACTTCCTGTCCTGTACAGTTAGCCTCCCAGGACTATGGGAGGTCTGTTTTATTTCCCTCCGTTCTCTGGAAGCAACCTCAACCCAAGCTCCTGGTTATTCTTTTTGGGATATGTTGGGTCTCATTGTCCAGAGCTGGCAGCTCTGGCCCAGGAATCTGACCCCTAGGCCCCCAACGCTGTCCCCCTTCCTTGCTTCTGTCTCTCTGTTGTGGGCCTCAGGTTCCGTCACTGAAGCCTGGGGCAAGCTCAGGAGAGTGTGCCAAGTGCCAGCTCAAGTGCTAAGAGGCACTGGGAAGGAGGGGCAAGGGGAGGTCTGGATGAAAGTTGGAGGGGCCCCCTGCTCTGGGCTGGAGCTTGAAGGCTCAGACTGGGCCCAGCATGGGACAGGAAGGGGGCAGGGGTTCTATCTGATCCCTTTGTCCCAGTCCTGGATGTTCTGAGATTTCACAGCCACCTTGCCTGAGCCCCATCTTTCCCTCTCTCCCCCCAGTCCCTCCTATACAAGAAAGTGAATGAGGCCCAGTATCGCAGCCACCTGGCCAACGAGATGATGATGTACCACATGAAGGTGAGCCCTGCATGGAGCTTCTGCCCTCCTTGTCAGGGCCCCAGGGTCCCCTGTAGCCCACGTTTTCCTCCCCTGCCTCCCCAAATCCTCAGGCGCCCAAGACAGGCTGGACTTTCTTATCATCCTCTCTTGAATATAAGAAGATAGACCCAGGGCTCCCCTGGTGGCGCAGTGGTTGAGAGTCCGCCTGCCGATGCAGGGGACACGGGTTCGTGCCCCGGTCCGGGAGGATCCCACATGCCGCGGAGCGGCTGGGCCCGTGAGCCATGGCCGCTGAGCCTGCGCGTCCGGAGCCTGTGCTCCGCAACGGGAGAGGCCACAACAGTGAGAGGCCCGCGTACCGCAAGAAAAAAAAAAAAAAAGAAGATAGACGCAGAGCAATGCCTCGCCTTTTGCTCTGCTGCTCTCCTTCGGGGCAGCTGGCCTTCAAAGCAGTTTCTGGTTCAGCCCCAAGGCTGGCAGCACTACTTAGCCCAGGGAAGAATTGGTTCAGCCAGGTGTTCCCAATGTCCAGGGATAATTCCCATCCTGGGAATTACTGAAGGCTGGGAAGCCCACCCAGGGCCCTTCTGACAGATCCCTTAAATACAGTGGCCCTGCAGTCCTGGGCAGTCCCATTCCCAGACCTTGTGTTAGAAAAGCTGTCCCAGGCTTTACTTCAGAGTATGTGGTGGTCATTGTTCATTTGAACATTCCTCTCATCTGTGTCTAAACCAAAGTGTCACAGACTTTGTGGCTACGGTCAAAGCTGCAGCAGGAAGGATTGAGGTTAGACTCTGGGATGGTCCTCCCAAAAGAAGGAATCTTTCGTTTATTGTCCATGAAAGGCTACCTATGCTGCCATGAAGAGGTGTTCTCTGTCTTTGACAAGGACAGGCTGTTACAGATGAGGGTGGTCACTGGAAAGGAGGCATAGTAGGTGGGCTGCAGGATGGTGAGGGGACGGTGGTGTTCTCCTGCCCAGTGATAACCCATGGAGTGGATGGCCCGACTGGTGTGCATTCTGAGTGGGAGGTCCCCGCCACTGTGGGAAGTTGAGGTTGAAGACATTGGATTGGGTGGAGGCCATCTTCTAATACCCCGGCTGGTTCCCTCTAGGTCTCTGATGATGAATACACCAAACTTCTCCATGATGGGATCCAGCCTGTGGCTGCCATTGACTCCAATTTTGCCTGTTTCACCTACACTCCTCGCTCTCTGCCCGAGGATGACACCTCCATGGTGAGCTGGCCTGGCCCACTGGAATGTGGAGGTGGAGAGTGTACAGCCGGAGATTGAAGTTAGATGTGCATAGGAACTTCCTGGCAAGACAGAGTCATCAAAGAAGGCTATAGAGTCTCCTCAGAGATGGAGGGGGCATGCGGGCTGCCGGCACGGGCCCCAGGGCCTGCCCGGGGCCAGGGGCTGGACGGGAACCAACGAGGGCCTCAGGATTGGCACCTCCCTCCCTGTTTTTCTAAGATTTTGTGTGAACTTGGTTCCAAGAGTTCTTAGATGTCATATTTCTAAGTTCATGGCTCCGAGAGTGCTTGGCTCTACCGTTTTATAGTTCTCTAGTTTAGATCTAAAGTTCCAAGACTCCGAAATGTTGGAGGCTCCAAGAAGGGCCAAGGCTGGGGGTGGGGTGGCCCATCTTGAAACTGACGATCCTCTGATCCCGCCTTTCCACTCTCTCCAGGCCATCCTCAGCATGCTGCAGGACATGAATTTCATCAATAACTACAAAATTGACTGCCCGACGCTGGCCCGGTGTGTGTCCCCAGCCCTCCCCTCCGTGCAGGCAGCCCCGTCTCTGCCTCCCTCCTAACTCTACTCTCACATCCATTGCCCCCTGCGCTCTGGGAAGGACTGTCTGAGGATGCCTAGGGGAGGCCCACTCTTGTGAGGGTGGGGGGGATCTGTGAGTGAGAAGCAGTTCACAGACACTGGGACCACAGGATAGCAAAGGAATGGGGCAGGGCAGAGCCTGGAGGGTTTCCTGGAGGAGGAGAGCCTGAGGCCCCTGTGCTGCCCTCTCCCCTCCCCCAGGTTCTGTTTGATGGTGAAGAAGGGCTACCGGGATCCACCCTACCACAACTGGATGCACGCCTTTTCTGTCTCCCACTTCTGCTACCTGCTCTACAAGAACCTGGAGCTCGCCAACTACCTCGAGTGAGTGACTGCACTTCCCCCCATCTGGTAGCTGGTGGGGTCCCCTTCCCTGGGACAGGGTGGCACCTCCTGTGTGGCAGGCTTTACACACACTGCCTCACGGGACCCTCTTAACAGCCCAGTTAGAAAGGTACGAGGCCCCTTTCCAAGAAGGGGACCCAGGTGTCCTGAGCTCCTGTCCAGGCGGTTCCTGGACATCTGCAGTCAAATACTCACCCACTGAGCTATTCCCCTTATCCTGGACGTCTCATCCAGCTGGCCCTCCTTTGAAAGTGTGGGGAGGCAGCAGTGGCTGACCTTTTCCTGTGTCTCCTCCCAACCAGGGACATGGAGATCTTTGCCTTGTTTATTTCCTGCATGTGTCACGACCTGGACCACAGAGGCACAAACAACTCCTTCCAGGTGGCCTCGGTGAGACCCTGCCCTCGTCACAGTGGGCACCCTCCCCGAGGTGTCTGGGAGTCTCCCCACTCCAGCCTGGGGAGAGGCGGGAGTTGGTGAGACCAGGAGCCAGTTTAGAGATGGGAGGAGGCTCTCCCAGGCTTTGGGAGATGGCGGGAGGTGCAGGGCAGTTCTGAACCCAATATGGCAGCACTTGCCTCTGGATGTGAGGAGTGATGGACTTTTCTCGGGCTTTTCCAGAAATCTGTGCTGGCCGCGCTCTACAGCTCAGAAGGTTCTGTCATGGAGGTACCACCATTCTGCCCAATATCCCCGTTTCCACTGTCCCCTTAAAGCCAGTGACTTACTAAGTTAGACTGTGGCCCAGCTCGTCCCCCTCCCAAGCCCTGCACCTCAGATAGGCTATGAGAGCTGCAGCCACCCCCAGGGCACGCCTGGCTCTTGTTCCCCGATGGGCTTGGAGGCGTGCAGGTGCGGCTGGGGGTACGAATCAGGCAGCAGGTTCCGCCTGAGCCCAGGTTTGCCGAGGGAGGACTTGCATTTAGCATGTTTCTCTCTGCATGTCTGGGGACACCCTATGAAACCCCCTCCCCGCCCAGCCGGGCACGGGCTTCACTGCCATCATACTCAGCTTTGCCTTAGACTGATGTGGGTGGGTCTGCACGCCCGCGATGGGAGCTCCTGGGGGCAGGGACAGAATCGGGGACATCTCTGAGTTCCCTGCACCTGGCAGAGGGCTTGGCACAGAGTGGGAGTCAGACTTCCAAGCTCGCCTTGCCTCACGCGGACCCCGCAGGCCCCCTCCAGAGCTGCTCCCGCTTGCACACCCCCAGAGACGAGGGGCTCGCTTCCTCCTGGGAGGCATGGTGGCAGCCCTGCTTCTGCCCTCCATGCCCTGGGCTTACGTGCCCCTCCCCTGAGTGATAGCCCTTCAGCATCAGGAGACAGGGTCCTTGCCCTCGCCTTGTCACCACCCTTCCTTGTCAGCACACAAATGCTGGCTGCATGAATTAGTGTCCAGGACTCCGAGGGATCATTTCAGAATCGTTCCAGCTTGAGAGGCCCTCAGAGCTTACCTTGTTGTGTCCCTCCATGTGACAGCTGAGGAATCCAAGGCTCAGAGGTGGCCAGGGACTTGCCCAGGGTCACAGAGAGGGTTGAAACAGAGTCCAGAAAGGGAACGGGCCCCGCACCCCCGACTCCCCAGTTCTGCCTGCTCAGCTCACCTTGGGGGCCGGGGCTGGGCCGGGCCTGCTCCCACTCTTGGGGTCAGTGAGGAGGGAAGCCCCCCACCCCAGCTGGACCCCCATCACTCCTCTCCCCCCAGAGGCACCACTTCGCTCAGGCCATCGCTATCCTCAACACCCACGGTTGCAACATCTTTGACCACTTCTCCCGGAAGGTGATGAGGCCGGGGGTGGGGCTGGGGGTGAGGAAGTGGGAGCTGGGAGCTGGCCTGAGACGGGAGAAGGAGTGAAGCCGAGGGGTGGAGGTTCCTGAGGTCTGGGGGCGAGGGTGGGGTGTCTGGCCAGAGGCCTTGACACCCTCCCGCACCCCTGGCCCTGGCCCAGGACTATCAGCGCATGCTGGACCTGATGCGGGACATCATCTTGGCCACAGACCTGGCCCACCACCTCCGCATCTTCAAGGATCTCCAAAAGATGGCCGAAGGTGCCTGCCTTTAGCCCAGGCCTCAGGGATGGGGAGGGACCACCAAGAGGGGGATTCGCCTGGAGAGCATCCCCAGGGGTTTAGATCCACCCCTTCTGGCATCAACCCAGCAGGCAGACCCAGCCCTACATCCCTGGCTCCCATCCAGGGTGCTGAATTCCCTGGACCACTTTGGGGTGGGCCCTGGGGCCTTGCCCTCTGAGAGAGGGTACCAGGATGCTGGGGCCCTCTCCTTGACCCCGTTCTCTCCCCAACAGTGGGCTATGACCGAACCAACAAGCAGCATCACAGCCTCCTTCTCTGCCTCCTTATGACCTCCTGTGACCTCTCTGACCAGACCAAGGGCTGGAAGACAACGAGGAAGATTGCAGTAAGTGCTGCCCCAGCCTGGGAAGGCGCAGGCTGTACTCCCTGCCTGGCTCTGTGTGGCTCCCGCAGCCTGAACACCCTCCCTGTGCTGAGCTCAGCCTGTGGGGGAGACAGGAACCTGGACCCCCTCAGGACGACAGGTGGGGAGATGCAGGGAGGGACATGGACTCACTGGGGGGGTCACTCATAGCAAATCAGTGGCTGGTGGAAGGTGGGCCAGAACCCAGCCACTCCTTCCCATCTGGGGCCCATCCCCCTGCCAGGCCGGACATGGTGAGGGCAGGTCCTGAGGTCCCAGTGCCTCAGTTTGCCCCCTTGGGAATGGGCTGTGGAGGAGCGTGGGTGGATGGACCCCACTCACAGGAGGTAATGAGAGTGTTGACCTTTCAGGAGCTGATCTACAAAGAGTTCTTTTCCCAAGGAGACTTGGTATGTGGGGAGTGACAGCAGGGTGTCCAGGTTGGGGGAGGGTTCCTAGCCTGGGCCCGGGAGGGCTGGGTTAGCCTGATCCGGGTGCTTATGGAGGAAGGAGAGGGCCAGGCCTGACGACTTGATGCCTGCAGGAGAAGGCCATGGGCAACAGGCCGATGGAGATGATGGACCGTGAGAAGGCCTACATCCCCGAGCTGCAGATCAGCTTCATGGAGCACATCGCAATGCCCATCTACAAGTGAGCGATCTCGTGGGGCCTGCTAGGGACCCCAGCCAGGGACAGCAGGGTGGGTGGGATGGGGCTGGCTGTGGCTGTCACAGCAGACACAAGTGGTGGGCTGGCCTGGCTCTGCTCCAGCTCATCCACTCCCTGCCTCTGGGCACAACCTCTCCTGCTTTGCCCCTAAATGGGCCATTCACTTCATCCTTGGTCCCTTATGGAAAGAGACCGCCATGTTCTCCTTGTGCTTCCCGTCCTATGCCTCATACTCTTGTGGAAGTTTTACCTGTGGTCCAGCCCGAATCTTTCTTGCTGCTCACAGTCTGACCTCTTACCCTGCGCCTTCACATCCCCAGGCTGCTGCAGGACCTGTTCCCCAAAGCAGCAGAGCTGTATGAACGTGTGGCCTCTAATCGTGAGCACTGGACCAAAGTGTCGCACAAGTTCACCATCCGCGGCCTCCCAAGCAACAACTCGCTGGACTTCCTGGACGAGGAGTACGAGGTGCCTGACCTGGATGGTGCTGGGGCCCCCATCAATGGCTGTTGCAGCCTCGATGCTGAGTGAGTCCCTCCTGGGACTCCTCTTCACCCAGGCCTCCTCCCACAACTCTCCACTGGCCTGGCCACATGCCCTGGGACCAGAGCCACGGGTCCTGGGTTCTAGACCAGGACTTCCCATGTGACCCCGGGCAAGGCCGAGCTTCCACGGCCTCAGCTTTCTCGTCTGTATAATGGAAGACTTCCAGCCTCACCAGGACTTTATTTGTCCTCTGAGAGCACGGGGATGACAATGAACAGTGCGCCCTGCTCTGCATCTCTGACCACACCTTGGCAAGTGCCCCCCCTCAGGCCACTCTTCCGAGGCAGCCTGGATGGTTCTCCTGGGCCCCATTTCTGCCCCACCAGATCTGTGCCCTTTTCCTCTGAGGACACCCCCTGCCCCCCAGGATCCTCACGCAAGAAGGTGAGACATCTGAGTGGGCAGAGTGTGGGTCTTAGAGACAGTCATCAGCTTGGCTGGAGGACTAGAAATAGCGATGGGGCCACAGGTGGCCCTGAGGACTGCCACTGTACTTATAGTGGAGACTGGGACCTGGGGAGATGAAGGGGTCCCATAAGGAAGCTGCCAGGGGGGCAGCTCAGTGCTCTGGGAGAGGGGGCTCAGGAAGAAAGCAGGATAAGAACAGTGGGCAGGAAGGATCCCTGGGCTGGGAGGCAGGCGCATCATGGGTCAGCAGTGCTTCATCCTGGCTGTCCCTGGGCAAGTCCCTTCCCCTATCTGGATGAAACAGGAGGGTGAGACAATCCATTCTGTAAGACCCCTTTTAGATCAAAGTCCCCATAGCTCTGTGGAGTCGCAGGAGAGGCCATGGAGTGTCCCTGGACCCCTGGGGCAGAGAGCCGACACTGAGTCCCTCAGTGGCCTCCTGAGTGCACCCCCTTAGCCCGAGCCCCTCCTGCATTCCTGCAGCCAGAGGGGAACCCGGCCTCAGCCCTGGTAGGGCTTGTCTCCTCTTCAAGGCCATATCCACCTGTGCCCCGGGGCTAGGGAGACCCAATAGGGCTGGGCCTCTGGGGTCATCCCGGCTGCAGGTTCCTCCTTTCTCTGTTTTGTTCAGTACAGTGTTGTGGGCTGGGGGGAGGGGGCCACCTGCCTTACCTATTCTGAGCTGCCTTTAGAGAGATGCGTTTTTCTAGGACTCTGTGCAACTGTTGTATATGGTCCTGTGGGCTGACGGCTTTGTACATGAGAATAAATCTATTTCTTTCTACCAACCCTCCCCCACAGGGCTGTTTGCAGACTTTGTATGTGGGGTTGGAGGCGGGGGCGGGGAAACAGCCCTGGGGGAGGCAAATGCCTTTTAGAACTCTCAGGCTACTGGAGGTCCCACCCCTGCTGCCTAGCCCCTCTTCTGGGGGAGTCCTAGACCTGCTGGGGTATCCCCAGACCAGTCCTGTGACAGATAGTAGGGACTTAGGTGTGGATGGCAGATACAGAGGCCTGAGCATGGGGCAGCGATTGTGGACTGGAAAGGGAGAATTGAGGGGCTGAAGCAATCAAGGAGGCTGCCTAGAGGAGGTGACCTGGTGCTTCTCCTAGACCCTCTGTCTGCTGGCCTTCCTTAGTCATGAGTGCCCATACAGCCGAGGCCTGGGCCTCTGAACCCTCTCCGAGCCCCGGGGATGCCTGTCTGTGTCCCTGTAAATCCAGCCAGAGGGGTAACCTTGAGTCTGACTCTACCTCAGATACAGCCCTGGGTTATGGCTGCAGGGTGGGTTCCCTGCTCTCCTGGCTGTGAGAGTGTTTGCTTCTGCACAGACAGAGAGGGGCAGGTCCCAATTGGGGACCATGAGGAGGCTCTGACTGGCACAGTCTCCATACCCCACTCCCCACTTGCCTATACCCCTCCCATCTTCTATCCCTGTTCATCTCTCCCAGATCAGTAAAGGTTGGCATGTTAAGGGACTGAGCACTGGGCTGTCCTTTCCTAGGAGAGGGAGGGTTGGGAGGAGAGAGACAGGATCATCTTGAGACCACCCACAATGGCCCCAGAGTGTCAGCCGTGCCTTTGGGACCACAGAGCCTGTCTGCTTCTTCTACCCCACAGTCTGTCATGCTTTGGAATCTGCTCCTCTGGGCTGAATGGTCCCAGGGCTCTCGCCTCCCCTTGGGGCCATGGGGTCCAGGCCCCTCCCCTGCCCAGCCCCTCCTTTGGGCTCCCCCAGTCTGTCTGCCCTCTCACAGCATAGGACCCAGGCTGACCAGTGGGCCCCCAGGTGGGGATGAATCAGTTCCTGGCCCAAAGCTGACACGGGAGGACTATTCTAATGGTGCCCAGCTGAAGCCAGCGTCGGTGCGGACTGACATAGGTGCTCCTCTACCTGTGACCCCCAACCCCGAATGTGTGTGTGTGTGTGTGTGTGTGTGTCCTCTTCCACAAGCCTTTGGACAAAGTGGAAGCACATCCTGGGTACCCACCCCTGGGCCTTACTTCCCCTCCCTTGCATCTGCTGTCTCCAGCCCAGCACTCCCTTGAGGACATTTAATCCCATTCGAGGCCCTCCCTCCTTGCCACCAAATTGAACAACTCACAACTATTTCCTCATGCACTCGGGACCCTACGCTGAGGCCCAGAGCTAAATTCATCCTTGTCCCTGGTCTGGAGGGTCTAACAGCCCGGTGGGGGAGACACAGGCCATGATACCTATGGTCCCAGGCAGGGGCCTGAGAAGAACAGCAAGGTTTGGAAGATGAGCAGGCATTTTCCTGTGGGCAAAGGGGGTTGGGCACCCCTGGGAGAAGGACCTGCTCCTACAAATGCACAGAGAAGGGGAGTGGAGTGGCTGGCACACAGGGAATGGAGACTTGGAGGGGGAGCCAAGGCCAGATCAGGGAGGGCCATGAATGCCAGGCTGTGGAGTTCGGCTTGATTTTGTGGGCAGCGGGGAGCCAGGGAAAGGTTTTCAGTGGGGAGTGGCTCAGACAAGCATTTTAGAAGCTCCAGCAGGAGGACAGAGCAAGGACTGGGCGGGAGAGGTTGGGCAGGGATCATTCTAGGGCGATGCTCCGTGCCCTGGGCGAGGCGAGGGAGGAGGAATTCAAGACGCATTGGACCAATTGGATGGGGGCGAGGGCAGAGGGCGGACTGGCAAGTGCCCTGGAAAATGAGCTGGGAAACGTACCGGCTCGTGAGCAGCCCCGGGCAGCTTTTCAGCACCACCTTCACCGGCAACTGGGTGTTGGGTGGAGCCTCTAGCAGGAGGGTGAGCTCCCTGGGAAGATGGGCGGGGCAGCTGTTTGGGGCTGCCAGGGGAGGGGGCGGGAGGAGGGGGTGGGAGGATAGATGGGAGGAGGGCCACGCATCTGCAGAGCCACCGGCAGCCCTCACCAGGTTAGAGAACCCAAGGCTTAGCCCCGGGGCTTCTAGTGGCTGCCCTGCCCTCCCAACTTAATGGTTTCATTTTACATGAAACCTCACGATTCTTTTATTTTTTTAAATTTAATTAATCTTTTTATACAGCAGGTTCTTATTAGTCATCCTTTTTATACATATTAGTGTATACATGTCAATCCCAATCTCCCAATTCATCCCACCCCCACCCCCACCCCCACCCCCGCCACTTTCCCCCCCTTGGTGTCCATACGTTTGTTCTTTACATCTGTGTCTCTATTTCTGCTCTGCAAACCGGTACAGATGAACTGGTTTGCAGGGCAGAAACCTCACGATTCTGTGGCGTAGATACTATTAGTCTCATTCTGTAGCCAAGAAGCTTGAGGTTCAGGAGGTTAAGTAATCAGCCAAGGTTGGTGTGAGCCTGACTCCTCTCCAAGGGCTCTTTCTCCAGATGGAGGAAGGAGATTCAGGAGGGCAGGGTCACCATCTGCCTCCGCAGGACTGTGGTGGGTAGGGGTGGTGAGCAAGTTTGTTGGGGCCCCAGAGAAGGGTCTGGGATCAGCCTGAGTTTCCAGAGAGGGTGGGGCACGAGAAAAGGGGTGAAGAGGATGGTGGCCTGTAGTGCAGCTCGTGGCCACCAGGTGGCGCCCAACCCTTGCTGTCCTGACCTCTCTGGAGGTCTGAGAAGGGCATGTGAAGGGGAGGGGTGTGATGGGGGCTAACCTCACTCCTGTCCACTCTCTCACTGGGGTGATGAGTTCTCTGGAAGGCGAGGCCTTCAGGGTACAGGAGGGTGTGCTGGGAGGCCACCATGTTCCAGGGAGTTTGTGTGAGTGAAATCTGCTCAGAGACGGCACAGCCACATTGTTCTCTGAGGGCAGAATAGGATGGGTCCGTACAGGACGTGAAGTACACCAAGTCTGAAGATTGGCAGGGTAGATGTGAGAACGGAGGTGTTGCAACTTCCTGACAAGATGGCTGCCACTCTCCATTCCTAAATCATCCCTGGAGAAACCATAGGACTGAGCGGGAAGCAGGAAGCATGGAATAGTCTGGGGTGCAATGGGGTGGGGGGAGTTGGGGAGAGATATAAGCGAGATGCTGGGTCAGCAGAAAGCACTTGCCTCACCCCTGTTGCCTTGGACAGTCAATCATTGCCTGTCCCCTCACTTCTGCACAAACTCCTGGGGCTTCTTCATCTCCTCTTGGCAGTAGCTGGAGGAAAAGAACAATCCCTTGACTGGGAGGCTCTCCCAAGGATGGACAGGGATTATTGTCCCCTTTGTGGTCAAGAGAAACTGAGGCCCAGAAGCTCAGCTGGTGGGAACCTCCTTCAGAGTAAAAGGAGCTTAGCCTCCCCAGAGTCAGATGAGGAAACTGAGACCCGGAAAGTCTGCACAAAGATCTAGAGGCAGAGCAAGGAGGGGCACCAGCTCCCACTTCCTGGCCCAAGGTTCTCCCCCTTTCCCAGGGATGGCAGTCTTTGCTTCCTCAGGTCCCACCTAGAACTCACACTGCAGGCTAGACCTGGGGAGCTGGTCTATGTCTCCCACATCACTATGTCCCCATATCCATCCAGTGCTGGGATCAGGGTCAGGGAGGGGATGGTGTGGGTTAGAACAGTGGACCCTCTTTTCTCTTCACATCTGCCCTGAACCATTCCTCTGGCTCTCAGCTTAGACTCCTCGGGTGGTGTGTGCCTGCTGGGTGCATGTGGTTTCTCTCCTCAGTTAGACTGGGAGCCTGATAAGGGCGGGAACAGGTCTGCCTCAGCTCTGGTTTCCCACATCCCTCCTCAGTGTTTGGCACATAGTAGGTGCTCAAAACAGGCGTGTTGATTGACAGAAAGTGGCAGAGTCAGGACTCCAATGCATGCATTGATCAAAACTCAGCTGAACAATGAGGGAGACCCTCTGAAAATCTCCAGAATTCTCTCTCTCTGCAGCTCTTTCATCTCTGGCACTCTGCCCCGTAAACTCTAGCCAACTAGCCTCTTCAGACTCACAGCTCCATCTCCTCAACCCAGGGGGCCTTCCAGGCTTCATCTGGTTCATCCTGCCTGCATGGTGGCCTGGAAACTCTCTCCAGGCAGTGTGGGCAATGGTAGGGTTTACATGTGTTCTCTGCCTCTTAAGATCCCAAACATTGCCTGATAACCAATGCCTTGAAAACCTTTATTTCCTACATTTTGTCATTTTGTTGTTATTTCAGGAAGGAGGGTAAATTTGGTCTTTATTACTCCATCTTTGATGGGAGTGTAAGTCTATTTTGTAACTTTCATTGCAGTATAGTACACCATGCAGGAATGTTGACAGACATTTGGATATTAATGTTTTAGCTACTAGAAACAATGACCATACGACTATTCTTGTATATGTATATATTTTGTGTATTTCATTGTATGAATATCTTTACTTCTATTGTTGATGCATATCTTCTAGCTTCCATCTAGGACCATTCCTTTTTATCTATGAACACTCTTTCAGTATTCCTTTTACAGTAGGTCTGCTGATGATGAATCACCCTGGTTTTTGTTAGTTTGAAAATGTCTTTGTTTTTCCTTTATTCTTGAAGGATGTTTTTGCAGCTATTGAATTCTAGGTTAGGGAAGTATTTTCTTGTAGCACTTTGTTAAGATAACATTCTATTCTCTTTTTGACTTTCATTGTTTCTGATGAGAAGTCAGCTATCAGTCTTATTACTGTGACTTCAAAAGTAATGCATCTCTTTCTCTGGCTGCTTTTAAGATATTATCTTTGTGGTTTTCAGCAGTTTTATTGCTATATGCTTAGATATGGTTTTCTTTGTATTTAGCCTGCTTTAGAATCATAATGTGTCTTGAATCTGTGATGATTTTCCCTCTTCTCAATTCCCTCTACT